GCCTCAGTTTCCTGCATGTAAAATGGGGATAAGTTTCCCCACCCCCTAAGGCTAGAGTGGAGATTCAAAATGGTGACTCTAATGTGCCAGCCCAGGCCTTGTGCTCTCACCGGAACCACTGATCAGTCTCCTTCCTAGCTTCTCAGTCTTCCACCTTGCCTGACATGGATCTCAACATCTGGCCCTGGCCCTTCCCTGCTCAAAAGCACCCCACGGTTCCCACCATTCTCAGGGGAAAATCCAGCTCTCTAACCTGACATCTGAAGTCTCACCTGGTCTCACATCACCCCACCGCTTGCAGCTCCACCAGGTGCTGGGTCTTTGCACATGCTTCTCCCTCTACCTGAAGCACATTCTCCCTGCCTGCCTGCAAGTTTCCCCTCTCCTCCAGAAAGCCTTCCCTGATACCCCTGGCTGGATTAGGAACCCCTCTTAAGGGCTCTCACTTCCCATTATAACCTCATTCTCCTGGGCCAGGACCATCTGTAACCAGGTCTGTCTCCCTGCAGCCGAGGAGGCCCACAGGCAGGGCCTGGACCTAACTCATTTTGGGTTCCCTCCATGATAGTACCCAGCACAGAGCCTAGCACTGAGCAAGGGCTTGGGAAATGCTGGATGAGATCATGAGGAAATGCACAAAAGACAAAATAATGAAGTTGGCAGCTCTCCTCAGGCAATGACCAGAGCCCCGAAGAACATCACAACAGAGCCCAAGCCATGGTCTGGGGAATGCAGACCATTCGGCCAGACCAGACAAGAACTCCCAGTCTTACCAGCCTCAACCAAACTATAAAGCTCAAAACAAATACATCGTTGTTAAGTGTCTGCCAGAGGCAGGCTCACCATCTGCCTTCCCCAAGTTCCTCCCTAAGTTCAAGGTCTCCTGTTTCCACCCAACAGAGGCACAACTTCCATGCCATCTAGAAGAGACCCAACCACAAAACCCCTTGCTTTTCAAAAGCAAAAGCCTCTTATTCATGAGGACTGCACAATAAAATGTGGCTTATTTCTTTAATAGCTAGGGGAATATGCTGGTTTCAGAGGTGATAGGCTTGGGGAAGAATGAGAGACCAAAGGGGACCTGAAAGTCTCCCAGACTCCTCCCTAACCCAACATCCAGCCAGTTGGTCCCCAAGTCTCATTGGTGAAACTTCACAAACATCTCTCAGTGCTCTCCCCACCGCTCCACCTCCTTAGTTCCTGCCCAAGTCAGAACTCATCTTCTCCTGCAAGACTAGCACCCCAGGTTCCCAGTGTGCCCCCACCTGGCTTGAGAGCCAAGTCTACGCCCACTCAAAATCCTTCTATAGCTCCCCTGCAATCCCAAGAGCAAAGCCAAGCTGGTCTGAGTGCCACTCAAGGCCCTTCTTCCCCTGCTTCTGGTTTCCTCACCTTTCAGCTAACAGTCCAGCCAGACCAGAAAAACCTACATGTGGTTCCTAAGACACCAACCTCTTCTTTGTGTTCATAGGGACTGCTCCCTTTTCTTATCCAGTAAACTCCTATGCATGCTTCAGAACCCTGCTCCATGGCTTCTCCTCTCTGATCCCCAGCAGTGTCCTCACTCCCTTACAGGCTCCTCTACCCAACCTTGTTCCTCCTTCTGTCTCGGATCTGGGCTCACTCTGTCCCCAAACAGGCTGGAGCTCTTTAAGACCAGAAGATGTCATATACCCCAAAACATACACATACTTCTCATTCCGTTCTCTCTCTCTCTCTCTCTCTCTCTCTCTCTCTCTCTCTCTCACACACACACACACACACACACACACACACACACACACGAGACAGAAATAGTCCCCAAAGCTAGGGACAGTCACACATGCCCAAGAAACATGCTTCATCCATACCCCACACAACAGCCACAGGTAAATAACATATAAAACATAAATTAGATCATGTCCTTCCCCAGTTGAAAATGAGAGAATGAGGAAATGCACAAAAGACAAAAAAATGAACGAGTTCGCATGGACCTAGCAGGTGTGGCTCAGTGGATAGGCATAGGCTATAGACTAAAGGATCCCAGGTTCTCTTCCAGTCAATGGCACATGCCCAGGTTGTAAGTAGTGGTTCTCTCTCATCATTGATATTTCTCTCTCTCTCTCCCTTCCTCTCTGAAATCAATACATATTTTTTTAAAAAGAAAAGAAAACCCCTCCATGGCTCCCCAGTGCCCCAGTGTAAAGACCAAGCTCCACAGCCCACAAAAGGAGGCCCTGCAGGACCCAGGCCCTGTCGCACCTCTGAACTTTGCCCAGGACCTCCTCTGGGGGATCCCCACCTCTCCTGGGAGGCCAGCCCCTACATCCACACCACGGTAAGCCTCCCTGGACTTCTCTTCCACCTCCCATTGCCCTAAGGACACAGTTCACAAGGTCCTACACCCTCTGCCTCCCCCAATCCTCAGCTTCTGGCTCATGATTTGTCTTGTATTCTGCATTTCTACCTCCTCAAAAGCAGTATACTCTCCTGCATCCAGGCCTTTGTATGGGCTGTTCTCCTTGCCTGGAATGCCCTTATGCTCCCTCCTACACATGCCTCTGGTCTCAGCTACTGCCCAAACTAAGTCAGACATTTTTTCTGAGCTTCCCTCTCCTTGGAGGTAAGTTTGTTCCCCCCACTGGACTGGAAGCCCATGAGGATAGGGCTGGGGCCTTTGCACAGGCTGTTCCCTCTTCCTAGACGGCTCTTCCTCCTCCTCCGCCTCCTGATTCCTATTGGCCCTTCAGTTCTCAGCTCAGACATCTCCTCTAGGAAGCCCTCTGCTCTCCCTGGTCCCCAGACCAGGCACCTCCTCTAGGGGTGGGGTTCCTCCATCACAGTACCAACTACTCTGGACTGACTAGTAATGTGTTTGTCTCCCCCACTGGATCCCAAGCCTCAAGTATCAGGGACTTCTGGGACTGCCTTGGTCTCTGCTATGTCTCAGTAGCAAATATAGTATCTGGCCCATGAATGATTGAAAAAAATGCTTTTTGTTGATGCTTTAAAAATGACAGCAGTAATAATCCTAGAATCATGTACTGAGCATTTACTACTTGCCAGGCATGTTAAAAACCTGTTCTCATTTCATTCCAACAACCCTATGAGGGAGCAGAGCAGTACGAAGTACTATTATTATCCCCACTTGGGTGAGGGGAAGCTGAATCTCAGAAAAAGAGACAACCTTCCCAAATTTACAAAACTAGTTATCAGTGGAACCGAAATTTGAAGCAAGATGGTTGGGCTCAGAGCCCGAGTTTCTAACCATTACTCAGAATACCCATATGGATGCCCCTCGCTTGTAACTGTCCATCTGAGTCTGGGTACAACTCCCCCACCAGGTTCAAGGCCTTGCAGGGCAGGGCACAGGTGGGCTGCTTTTTAGAGCAAAGGGCCTGGCACCGAAAAGGACTCTCAGAATGTGGTGAATGGATGAACGAGTTCGCAAATGAATGAATTAGCAAATGACTGGGTGTGTGACCCGCACTGCCCCACTCACCCTCGATGAGCCACTCGCAATTGCCATTGACGCTGTAGTTGCCCGCACCATCCGTCACGAAGCCTGGGGCCTCCTGCAGCACTTGCCGCTGCCCCTTGCAGTCCCCCGCCCGGGCCCCAGGGGACATCGGCCCCAGCGTGGCCAAACACAGAGCCAGCGCGGTGGCCAGAGCCCCGACCAGGGCCATCGCCGCTCCAGCACTGACCCTTACCGATGGCACGGACCCTCCGCCGATGCGAGGCCCTGAAAATGCGACCTCTATGGACGGGACATGGCCTGGTAGACCGGGGAGGCCCAGGAGTCCCCGATCCCGTGAAGCGAACTGCCTCTGTTGACGGGCTCTGGGAGTCGAAAGGTGGATCCTATAGACCCATGATAGGTCCTGTAAATGGGGTTGCTATGGACAGGGCCGGCCCCTAGGGACCGTGGGAGTCCCTTATAGACACAGAGCCCCATAGGCTGGCTGACCCCATATACGATGTCCAGCAATTACAGGCGCGGACCGCTGCAGGCCAACACGGACCTTAGAAATGCACGGGTCCCCATGAGGCGAGGGGCCCTACAGCCCGGACGAGGGCCTCCATAGAGGATGCGGGCCGGGCCGGCCGGGAGGGACTCCAGGCGGGGGCGGAGCACGTCCTCACGGGCTCGGGCCTGGAACGCAAGGCTCACTCCCGGGCTCACCCACCCGCGCCTCCCTCCGGAGCCGGAGAGGCCAGATCACAGAGACGAGGGGACTCTCCAGCCAGAGCGGCCCCGGGCCGGTCGCTGGCTGGGCGAGGGGGCGGGGCCGAGCGGCCGCCGTGGGAGGCCTGGGGGTTGGGAGAGGAGGCGAGAAGTCGCGGAGCCTAAGGTCAGAGCGGCCGTGGGAGGACTGCGGGAAACACCAAGCCCTACCCTCCACAAAGGAGACTTCCGGAAACTTCCCCGCCCATTCGTGCCCGGACGCATGCGCAGCCTAGGTCGTCTGGGCCTGTGAAGAAGAGAGAACTGCACATGCGCAATGCTAAAATTGTAACCCAAACTCGGGGTGTAGATGCCTGAGCCAAGTATCTGCCACTGGAGGGCGCCTCTACCTCTGCCTGTGGAAGAGAAGGTAAAAATAAGAGAAGCCCTGGCCTCCGTACTGGGGGGGGGGGGGGGTCCCGGGTTCGATTCCGGTCAAGGGTATGTACCTTGGTTGTGGGCACGTCCCCAATGAGGGGGCGGGGGGGGGGGGCGGGAGGCAGCTGATTGGTTTCTCTCTTATCGATGTTTCTGACTCTCTATCCTTCTCCCTTCCTCTCTAAAAAAATTTTTTTTCAATAAAATATATTTTTTTAAAAATAAGAGAGGTGCAGTATGACTAAATGATTCAGTTTTCGAGTGCTGGGTCAACCTAAAGGTCAGGTTTTGCAGGTCTCTCCCAAAATGCCACTTCACAGATGGACACCCTAAGGTCCCAAGCCTGGAAAGGCTCTGGCTCAGCCGTGTCTCTGAGCATCATCCACGTAAAAGAGGCCATCTTATAGATACAAACTCAACGAATCCTCTTTATTTTGGCAAGAAGGGAAAAGCCTTTCTCCCGGGGGCCTGAGGGGGGTCCCCCGGGATAGACAGAGCACGGGTCCGAAGTCACAGGTCCAAGGGAAGTTCTCAGAGTCACGACCAGCTTCACAATAGCCGTCCCAGGAGCAGTGGCTCGGGTTGCGGAGTCCTCCTGCAGCGTCCGCGGGCAGGTCCGGGCGATCCTCGCTGGCGCTCCGGCGGGGTCAAAGGTCTCGGAGGGGGCCCGGGGGCCGGAGGTCACGGAACAGCGGGAGCCCGGAATCCGGCGCCGCTCGGGGCAGGGGCTGAGGGAGGGCACGGGGAGAGCGGCTCCCGCGGGACCGTTTGGCACCAGAGTCAGGGGCAGGGGAGGAGCGGGACACTGCGCACCCCAACCTGGGCGCGCGGGGCGGGGGGCGGGGGGGGTAGGCCTGGGGTGGCGGAGGCCTGGGGCTGGGACAGAGCGGGGTCCGGGGCCTAGCGCGCGGCCCGTGGGGCAGGGCGCGCTGGGGTGTCAGACTGGGGGTGCGGTGCCCCTGGGATGGCGGAGGCCTGGAGCTGGGACAGAGCGGGGTCCGGGGCCTAGCGCGCGGCCCGTGGGGCAGGGCGCGCTGGGGTGTCAGACTGGGGGTGCGGCGCCCCCGGCCGTGCGCATGCTGAAGTACTCGGTGAAGCCGGTGTGCGGCGACGCCGTCTGGGGCACCAGAGGCTGGTAGGCCGGCGTCGGGCCATCCCAGCTCGGGTCGGCCCCTTTGGGGAACCGAGAGGGTGGGGGCGGGGAGGCCGCGCCGGGCTCGGCCGTGGTCACCACGCGGCCCCTCGGGGCCGCCGCCGCCGCCACCGCCACCGCCGTCTCCTCCACCTGCTTCCCGGCCTGGGAGGGGGGTCAGGGTCAGAGGCCGTCCGGGACCCTCGGGGGGCAGATGCGGCCCCGAAGGCCCGGCCCCCTCCCCCGGAGAACCCTCCTCCCGAGGGGTGGGCGCCCGTGTCAGTCCGGGAAGGAGCGGGCGGCGGGGCGCCTGGGCAGCGGGGCCAGATACTCGAGGGGCGGCGTCGGGGCGCGCGGGGCGAACTCGCGCGGGGGCGGCGGGGGCGAGCTGCGGAAGGCGGGCGGCGGGGGCACGGCGAGCGGCGGGGGCACGGCGCGGGGCGTTCGCGGGGGCGTGCGCAGCAGCGCCAGGACCCAGTCGGGCAGGGTGGGCGCGGGCGCCGGGGGGCGGTCGCGACGCGGCATCGGGGCGCGGGGGTTACGGAAGGCGGGGGGCGGGCTCAGGCGCCGGGGCGCGGGGGGCGGTGGCGGGGCCGGGAGCGGGGTTAGGTACTCCAGGGGCGGCGCCAGCAGCTCCTCGGGCGCCGGGGGCGCGGGGCTTACGGAGGAGGCGGGCGGGGGGATGGAGAAGAGCTCCGTGAAGTTGGGCACCGAGTCGCTGATGAACGTCACGTTCCCGTAGACGTGCTGCGGGAAGGCCTTGTCTGCCGACTCGCCGCCTCCGGGCCCCGGGGCGCCGGCCGAGGCGATCTGCGACGTGCGCACGTGGTAAGGGAAGTTCTTGTTGGCCGCCGAGGGGCGCGTCATGATCTGGGCGGGGGGGCCAGGTGCGGGTTGAAGACGCGTTCACTGTCCAGGCCTCAGGTTGTCTCCATAATCATGGAGGCCTAAGGATTCCCCTGCACTTGGAAACCCCCCTCCCCCCCCCGTGTCACACACACACACACACACACACACACACACACACACACACACACTTCCCTGCAATCCTTCCAAAGGGATGAGAGCCTCCTGTGGGCCCTCAGTGCCCTGGGCTCTGTCCTTTCTCCTCCACCACAACTCATTACTCTGCCAGTGCTTCTTCCCTCAGAGCCTGATAGCTGAGTTAGTTTTCACTGACTGATTCTTTAGCATCTTGCGCTGTGCAGTACGATAGCCACTAGCCACATGTAGCTATTTCAATTTGTTAATAAAAGTTAAACTAAAATTTTAGTTTCTCAGTCACACTGGCCATATGTAAGTGCGCAGGGGCCACATATGGATAGTAGCTATCATATTGAAAGTCAAAAGTCATAGAATAGTTTCATAAACAGAAAATTCAGTTGAACTAGCAGCTTGTAGAATGTGAGCTCCATGAGGGCAGGAACTAGACTGTTCTGTTCCCTGTTGAATCCCCAGTACCTTCTACAACAGTACCTGGCACATACAAGCTCGCAATAAATATTGGTTGAACATAGAGCTGTCTCCCCAATGAGTCTAGTATTGTAGAAAGGCAGTGCCTAGGTATGACTCTGTAACTGCACCCAAGAAGTCCAGCATGGCCCCTCTAGGGTTTGCTGAATACATTAATAAGCTGAAGCCAATCAACAGTGAAATGTCTCCATTGGAGCTCAGCTGAGTTAACCTGAGCATTTTTAGGACTGAAACTGGCTGAAGGTGAAACATAGAAGAAAGGGCACAGTGTTTGGTGTTTTGAGCCTGCACCGCCCCTCTCAGCCCCACTGCTCACTAAGTGTAGGATCTGGGACGTGTTGATTAAACTCTCCACACCTCACTGGGAAAAGGGACTGCAGTGCCTACTAAGAAAGATGAGGAAAGGGTGGAAATGGAGACTGGTGCAGAGCCTGGCCCATGATGGGTTCTCATCACTTCTCTCTCTGCCTCCTTCTGACTTCCTGCCGAGCCTAAAGATGGACCATCCCAGAGAAGGGGAGTCTGTACCTGAGTCAGGTTTTGGAGTAGCAACTAGGGGACCTGGCCCCCTCCTTCAGCTGAGAGCCTTTCCTACACAGAGCACATGGTAGACCCCTGGGGTCAGGCACTGGGGCCCTCAGTGATGCCTATTTCCTTCTCATGCCAGCTCTTGTGGTCTGCCAGAGAAGGACCAGGTTCCAAGTCCCTGCCCTGCCACCAAAGGCCTTGGAGCCCTGGCAGGTCATCTGCCTTCTCTGGGACTTAGCTTCCCTCCTCTGTATATTGGGTTCAATAACGATTATCCATTCTGTCCTGGGGCTGCTCTGACACTTAGGAAAAGAGGGTAGGAATAAATGCATGTGGGTGTTCCTGGCATGACACAAAGGCTGTCTTCAGCCAAAAAGGTGTCTCTCTCAGCCTCAGTTTTCTCCTCTGTGAAGTGGGGTGATCAGGAGGCTGAGAGGGATACCTTTTGAGACAGGTGCCCACTGAATGGTAGATGGGTGGACAGTGGCTGGATTGATGAATTAATATAAGAACTGTCACCCAGAAATCTGGATGGGATATAAAACAAAGAAGAGGTTTGCTGCTAGTATCCTCTTGATGTCATTCTGATCTAGGACCTTGGAACCCCAGCCTGGCCCACCCCAGCTGCTTCTTTCCAAACAATGGCCTGTGACAGATATCAGGGAATGTGTGGGTGAAGGGTGGAGTAGAGACCAAGAGGGTTGGGAGAGGCAATGGGGATACAGAAGAGAGATTCGAGTCTGGGGACACAAGATCAGAAATGGGAATAGGGAGGGGGTCAAAGAAAGGGTGGGTTGGGGGAAGAGCCCAGACACAAGGTGGGAGAGAGGAACAAAAGAGAGTAGAGTCTGGGGGACACAGTAGAGTAGCCTACAGGAACCTAGCAGACTCCCAATCACTGTCTATGAGGTGACTGAAGGAATGAAGTGAAAGAAATGGGGCGGGGGGGTGGGGGACAATGGTAAGATATGTACACATAATAGCTTAATAAAAATTAAAAAACAAAAACAAATTGGAAAAAAAAGAAAGAAAGAAATGGATCAAGAGTTCAGGAAGATAGGGTGGGAGTCTCACTGCCTACTGGCTTCCCACCCCACCAGATGCTCATCCTCACCAGGAACACGCCATGAGCATACAAATGGATTCCCAGCTGGATGCCATTGACAATCTTCTCCCGAGCCCACTTAGGTATTCCAAAGTTGGCGATCAGGGCCATGACAGGAACTGCAAAGAACCTGAGAAGGAGGAATTGGATTGGTAGAGACACTGCCACACGCCCTCCACCCACCCCTACCTCCAACTCCCCTCCCAGACACACACACAGGCCCCAGGTGGGTCCCAAACTGGAGGGAAGTTGTGTGACCTTCAAAAGTCAGAGGTTAAAAGGGGCAACATTGCCACTGGCCTGGGAAATTCTGGGGGGCAAGGACTAGGTTGAATTTAACTCAGTTCCACCCCACCCCACATCCCAGCACCCGGTAGAAAATTCAATAGAGATTTAATGAATGAATTAACATACGATAATAACAACTAAGGACCTACTGCATGCCAGATCTGTTTCTAAGCATTTTACATCTATGAATTCATTGAACTCTCACAGTGACTCTATGAGGCAATACAATTTCCACCTCCATTAAACAAATTAGGAAAATGAGGCAGAAGTTAATTGACTTGTGTGAGGTTACACAGGGACATAACAAAGGCCCAGCACATCTCACCAGAGGGTGTAGGCAGCAAAGAAGGGCACATAAAAGGGCTGCTTCTCCGGGAAATGGCGCAAAGAGACAAGCACGGCGTAGCAGAACCACACGTAAGCCACCACCTGCAGCCCGATGAGCCCGTAGCCTGCCGGCGACTCATACGTGTACAGTACCTGGCCTGGGTCAAAGAACTGACCCAAGGAAGAGGGTTTATCATAGCCCTGGACCCCACATAGGGACCCCAAACCATACCCCTGGGCACCCAGGGGACAGAGTGACTTGGTCAGGACAGAAGCAGCAGAACAAGGGATGGAGACAGAGCACACAGAGGTAGAGAGAGGGTAACAAGGATAGGAAGGGAATACATCTACCATGGGCCCAGCAGGTAAACACTGCCATGTGGAAGCTTTCCATTCATCAACTCTATGAGGTAGGTCTTAAGATCACAGAGGGGGAAACTGAGGCTGAGAGAGACACCTTTTGGCTGAAGCCAAAGCCAAGGTAATATAAAGCCTTAGAGGAACTCTGGTGTATGTGAGATCTTCCTAAGTTTACAGAGAAGAAAACAGGCCCAAAGAGGGAGCCAGTAGGAGGGGGCGTAGCAGCATGGAATCCAGGTCTGTGTGATTCCTGAATTCTTGGTCATGGCATTAAACACAAATGTGTGAGAGACAGAGGGAAGAGGGAGAGGCTATTCAGAGACAGTGAAGAGGGGAGGAATGCACATAGAAAGACAGATGGGAAGGTAGGAAATCAGAGTGGGAGAGAGATAGCCAGGAGTGCAATATGGAGGGCTAGCAGACAGGAAGAGGAAACCGTGAAAGCTGGGGGGGAGGGGAGGAGGAATAAGGGGAGCAGGGAAAGGGCAGGGCCTGGACAGTGGTGAGTGGGACTCACCTTAGCCTCATAGATGAGCAGCACCACGTGGGTAAGAGTATACAGGGTCATGTAGACAGATAACTTCACAGAGCCTGAGTGGCTGATGCGGCCCCTGGCAGCAGGCCATGAGGGGAGATGGCAGGAGTGGGGTTGTCAGGGAATAAGGGGTGGCCACCCCCCAACCCAGCCCCTCTGCCCCCACCCCACCCCCCAGCCCAGCCACTCCCCATCCCCAGCACTCCATCCCAACCCAGCCTGGGCACCGTGTCACTGTGAATCCCTTCCCCAGAAGGATGAGCATCAGCAGGAAGATGAGGAAGCTGGAGGAGAAGAGCAGCTTGGCTGGGAGAAGGAAGGAAAGGGCGGCTCAGACAGGGTGGCAGAGGAACCCGGGTACCTGCCCTGGTCCCCATCATTCTCACCCAGGATCTTCAGACTCTCGTTGCCAATGCCATCAGTGGCATACTGGCCCCAGTAGATGCAGAAAAACAGGAGACTCAGAACTGAGGGAAGGATGGGCAGATAAAGGAAAGGACAGAAACTGGCTTTGGGGCATCACTGATCCCTCATACTGTGATCCAGGTGACCAGAACCCTCCTCCGCCCCCAGACTTAGGAGACCCAGGAGTCCAGCCCCCAGCTTCCTCCTCCCTCAGACTCAGGAGTCCAGGTTTCCAGCCCCTCCTCCCTCAGGTCCCTCCCACAGAACTCAAAAGTTGAGATACTTTAAACCTCACCCTCCACTCCAGCTGCAGCCATAAACATTTTATAAGTTGTGTGGAGCAACTGACGAGCTTTCAGCAAATCTAGAGGGGGGAGGGAAGGGGAGCGGTTCACAGACAGGAAGGGAGAATGGCTCATCTGCCCCAACCTTGCCCCAACCATGTGCTGGACTCACATGCAAAGTAGCAGGAGAGGATGAAGATGAGGATGAAGATGAGGAGGAAAGTCACATCTGTCTCCAGGATCCCTGCCAAGTTGGTGGAAGGAGAATATGGCTCAGTCGGGCTGCTGTCCCTCAGCAGGCACCCAACTCTGGGATCCCTCAAAGATCCTGGCTTTCTCACCAAACTCATCCGCAGAGAAGTGCTGCGTCCAGAAGGACTTGCCATTGGTGAGGACCATCTCATATTCCAGCTGCAGCCCATCTCCCTGTGGGGAGTGAGGAGGCCTCAGGAGGCCCTGGGCAGGTAGGGGATTGGCAGGGAGGTAAAGAGGAAAAGACCCAGGTGGCCAGGATGGCCCCTTACCCCACACTTGCTGAGAGCGATATACCACCACCTTTCACGCACTGAGCGGAAGCTTCGGCCACTGGAGCAGCTCAGGTAGCGGGTTCCCTCCTCTGTCACCACCTGGGGAGGAGCGAGAAGGCTGAAGCCTGTCTGCACTGTCCTCGGGCCCTTGACCTTCAGCACCTGCCCACTCCCCCAGGCCGAGCCCAGACCTGACAGCCTGACCAGGCATACTGGGTAGTGAGGTTGATGACCTGGTTGTTCTCAGGCCTGATCACTGACTCCTTAGCCAGGCAGTCCTGAGGAAGACAGGGACACGGTCACTCCCTGGCCAGCCTGGACCTCTCCCTCCCATCCATCCTCCTCACAGCCCTCACCTTGTCCGCTGCCTTGTACACAGCTGGCCACTGGGATGGGTCATCAAAATAGAGGAGGATGTTCTGACAGCATTTGGCCTGCAGGCCCAGAGATTTTAAGGTGTGGGGGGTGTGGGAGCCGGGGTAGCCCTTGCCTTGGAAGGCCAAGGGAACATCCAGCCTCAGTGTGGGAATGGTTGGGGAAGGCTCACCTCAGGGTATCGGAAACGGAAGTCCAGTCGTCCGTAATCCGAGAGGAAGCAAAATCTTGTCAAGAACACCCAGTCCTGGGAAAGGGCCCCAGTCAGACCCTCTTCCCAGTCGTTTGAGAACTCTCCTCTACTCTATGTAGGCCCTCAACTTCTTTTTCCCTAACCTCGGTACCTGGTTTCCCAAGAAGCCTTAAGGGAATCAAAATCCGAAAATTCTTTCGTGATCCCTTCACCTTGGTTCCAGGATTCCTGTCCCAGATGCCCCTTTCCTGAACACGTTCCCCACTTCCCAGGTGCCCTGAGAAAGACTCTGGAGGGCCAGATCCCCATCCTGGCCACCTGTCCCAGATACCATCGGACTGACATCGGCCGCCCCTGATTCCAGAGACACCCGGTGCTTGGCAGTATTCTAAATGGCCCTTTCCGGGTCCGGAGCCCGAGCGTCAACTCCAGGCTCTCGGAGGAGTGAAAAGTGCTGTCCCTTCAGCACCACCTCGCTGTCCTCCTGCCCCCGCCCCAAACTCCGACTCTCCCTCCCGCCCAGCTCTGACCTCAATGTCCCTCCTACAACCGCCCCCCTCAGCCTCAACCCCGCCCCAGCCCCCGCCGCCCCCCGCCCCGCGGGTCCCTCGGAGAGGGGCGGCGGGGGCGGGGCAGCCCCTTCCGCCTCTCCCTCCCTTCCCTGCCGGCGGGGGCGGCGGAGGGCCCGCTCTCTCACCTCTTTGGAGCTGAGGTTGCCCCGCACGTACTTGGCCCCGGCGTGTGGGGGCAGCGGCAGCAGCAGGAGCAGCAGCGGCAGCAGGCGGCGCAGAGCGGGCCCGCGCGGGGCCTCCATTCCGCCCTCTCCGGCCCCGGCCCGGGCTCCACTCCGGCTCCCGCTCCAGCCCGGCGACGGCGGCGGGGACGAGCGGGCCAGCTGGCGCGCGCCCCCGTTTAAAGGGGCCGCAGGGCACTGCGGTCCCCACGCCGTCCATCGGGATGGCCCGCTGGGGCCCCTTTCCAAACCACAAGGCAGGGGACGCCCCTTTCCCATCCTCTCTACCCAGGCCCGGCCCCAGTGCACCGGTGACATACCTCTGGGCTCCCCGTGTCCTGAACTGAACTCCCATTCCCACAAGCCCTGCCTCCTCCAGACTACCATCTCCAGACGGCCAACTCCCCTACCCCAGCTCAGTCCTGATCTCCCCTCAACCTGGTTTTCAAACTGCTCTTTGAGCCCTAGCCAGTTTGGTTCAGGGTAATAGAGCGTCAGCCTGAGGACTGAAGGGTCCTGAGTTCAATTCCGACCACATGCCCAGGTGGCAGGCTCCATCTCCAGTGGGGGGCATGCAGGAGGCAGCTGATCATTGATTATCTCTCATCATTGATGTGTCTATCTCTCTCCCTCTCCCTTACTCTCTGAAATCAGTTAAAAACTGCTCTTTGATTGCTCATCCCCATGCCAGCCACCCCCCCTTCCTGGGTCCAGCCAGATGCCAGCGTTCCACACCTAGTACTCTGGGAAGTGCCCACAGAGAGGGCAAACTACTTGTTCTGGGTCACACAATACGGAGGTGGCAGAGAGCCCTCAACCTCAACCACGATATCCCTCTTCCTGCCCCTGTCCCGTGGCAGCTACCAGTGTGTGCAACGGGGCTGCTGTGAAGAAGTGTTGTAAGTCTAGCAGACTGAACTAAGTTGCCTAGGTTCAAATTACAGTATTGCCACTTTCTCCCCATAGGACCTCAGCTCGGTCACAGCTGTGTGATCTCCTGGTGCAGTCCCCTCCATGCTGGTACCAATGGGGAAACCTGGGAAAGCTTTACAGAGTAGCATCCAAACTCCACAACTAAATTTTCCTGATCAGATTCCAAAACTTTTCTAGTTTCATCCCTCCCCCTTTACTTCAAAAAATTTGCACTCCACAAAATACCATTTTAAAAAACTTTCTAAACCAAGGGACCAGCAAGAAACTTAAGTGTGTGAAGCACTTCTAAGGGAGAGTGTGGGTCCCACACAAAGGGGCCTCTGCTACTCTATTTGAGGAGCAGTTGCCAGCAGGAGTAATAGGTGGGATGCCATGTCATTTTCCATTTTTCTTTTTTTAGAAGCCAGAAATGTAATTTTTTTTTTAAAGCAAACTGTATGATTTGTAACAGCAGGCAGTTGATTCAAAAGTTTAAAACATATCACAGACCAAAGCAAAGTCTGGGCCAGATTCAGGCCTCATCTGCCTTTCCTGCGCACACACTGTTCCTATGCCCAGCCAGCCAAGAGGCCCTCTATTGCAGGGCCCCGAAGTGACTCACTCTAGGTCTCAGCATGGCACACAGACATGGGCTGAACAAAAACGGTCCCATATCTCCTATTCACCCTCTCCAGGCCTTGTACATTCTGTTCCCTTTGTCTCAAATGTCCTCTCCCTCCTCCACGCGCAAGTTTCTACCCATCTTGAGATATACAACGGTCTGTGTTATCTCCACTTCGAAGACCTCCCTCATCACTGAGGCAGAGTCAGACTCCCTCCTCAGACTCCCCCAGCCCTCCCCACTACTGGAGTCTCCTGGAGACAGAGCCTACCACTCACTCTGAGGCCCCAGCATCGCCAGAGCTCAGAGTCTGGCACATAGTTGGCCTCAGTGGATGGATGCGTTGAATTGACTAAAGCCCCAGGTTTTCTCCTTCTCCTGGTCCCTTAGGCCCTAGAAAGGTGACACGTGATAGTACCTTCTCCTCCATTTCAAGAGTTATGACTCTCCTGAATCAACCACTCAGTGAAAATTAAGAGGACCATGAAGGAAGGTATTTTATTGAGGTGACTGGGAGTGCTGCCCCTATACCAGCATTAGTCCCCTTAGTACAGTCTCATGGGTGGAAAGGACCAGGCCTCTGGGCTGCTCTGGGCCACTGTATAGGAGAGGCTGGGCAGTGGGGCAGGGGGACAAGGACTCCAGTCAAGGGCAGAGGTTCGGGAAAACAAGGGGGATGGTAGCTGAGGCAGGGACTGTGGCGTGCTGACCCCACGGGGCCAGGAAGGAGGTGGTGTGGCTACTAGCCAGATGCTTTTCAGCAGGTCAAAGGCTGTTGGAGGGCCCCAGGCAACCGGAGATGTGGAAGGCAATGTGGGTGGCCAAGGACCTTTCGGTGGAGCCAGGCTCACTCTGTGTGTAGTGAGAGTGCTGGAGGTATGAGGCTCAGCAAAGGTGAATTCCTTTGTCCCCTGTCCTCCTCTCCTCCTCTGCCTTCCTTCCCCTGGGGCCTGCTCAGGGCTGTTGATCCTTCGTCTCTCAGAGTCCTCAGGCTTGGTCCCTGGCATAGAAGAAAGAAGCATGGGAGGGAGGGGGTCAGCTGAGCTAAACAGACAAGGGGAAGGGGAGCACAAAGGGCAGGAGGTGAGCTCACCTGACAAGGATGGCTGGCAGCCTCGGAGCACCAGGGTAAGGTCGGGCACACAACCATGGCATACCTGTAAGGTACCCAGGATGGCATCCCTGGCCTCTTGTACTAGGTTCCTCCTGGGGAAGGCCTGTGGCAGAATCAGCTGGCCCTGCAGCTCCCTTAGCAGCTGCCCCAAGCCAGGGAGCTCTAGGGGACTAGGTGGGCCTGGGCCAGAGTCTCCAGGCACCTGGTTCTCCTTGCCTCTTGACTGTGGGCCTGGTTCTTGGGCCCTGACTGGGCTTGGGGAAGGCTTGGTGGGTAATGTGGGGGTGTCTGGTTCCAGTGACCCACTGCTCAGCAGCCTTGCCACATCCAGAGATTTCACCTCATGGTTGAAGAGACCCCGGTGCTCCCGGCTTAGCCGGCCCTGGGTTATGACCACTAGCTTGGTTGCAGTAGGGGCCACATGGTCCTGGAGGTCCATGGGTGGATTCCGACTAGCCACAGGAGGCTCCTGATGAGCCAATGGCCGGCGGCTGCCCACCAGGGACTCATTACGCTCCCGTCTGGTCTTCCGACGGCGGACCCGACCAGGTTTCTCAGCTCTCTGGAAAGACTGTGGGGCTGGCCCTCGGGGGTCCATAGAGTCCTGGAAAATAAAGATAGGGTGCTCATCTGTATACAAATCAGGGACCTAAAAGTGAGTCGTGAGAAGGAGATAGTTCGGGGTGAGGTGGGAGGCGATGTGAGAGAAGGAGTGGGCAGAAAGGGATTGGAAAAGGCTTGGGTGCTCGCTTTGGCAGCATATATACTAAAAATGGAAAACGCTGGTCCTGGGAAGAAGTCATAGGTATAGGGCAGGATCAAGGGAATCCTGGTGAATGGGAAGACTTGTCAGGGAACACCAGAAGAGTTACAGGAAACAGAGGCATGAGAAAATAGCTAAAAGATGGAGGATGGGGAAAGAATCATGGGTCCTTGGAGAATGCAGAAAGTAGAAATATGGTAGAAAAGGAAAAGCAGAAGAGAAGTTGTACAGAGAAAACTTTGAAGACCCAGAAAGGGCGACAGCGGAGCTGTGGGGGAGGGGGCCTGGGGCTTGGTCACGGGGGTTGGAGAGGTTGCGAGGGTGGGGCAGTTGAAGTAGGAAAAGGGGAATATGGTTGGTGAGGTAAGGACGGGAGAGGGGCACCTTACCACCTCCTGTCCCGATGAACCTGGTCCCTTCCCTCTAGCCCACCCTACCCCACCACGCTGTGGGGTGCAATGGCTTCTGTTTTCCGAGGAGACCCCAGTTCACTACGCGCCTAGCGCTCTTCCGGCCTCGCTTCCGGCCTCGTGCCTCCTGCGCATGCGCGCGCACGCACCTTAGAGGTGAGTGGCTCAGAGGCACGTGCCAGGGCTTCCGACCGCCTGGAGTAGCTCCGCCCATCTCAGCCGTATATCCGGAAACCTCCCATTCGTCCTCAGGGTTGGTACCAGCCACCAATTGGCTGTGAAGTTCACTAGGCCCGCCCCTTCCTGAATCTGATTGGTTTAGAGGTCTATATGTGGAGTTTCAGTCTGGAGTGCTCGAAATCAGGCGAGGCGTATGGGCTTCAGGGCCAGCCAGCCAGCACCCCCCCTTCCCCCCCCCCCCCCCCCCCCCCCCGTCGGTCACAGAAATCATCAATAGACAGTCAGTAGAGTGTCACCATTCAGAGCTGGCCTCTGGGACTAGGTTAAAACGTCCAGACTGGCACATTTGAGTTGTGTGAACTTGGAGAATTGTGCAGCCACTCAGTTTCCTCATCTGTAAAATTGGGTTTATAATAATATCTCCTTCATACAGTTAGTGTAAGTATGAGATGAGACAACATCTAACTTAAAATAGCACTTGATGAATTAATGCCTCAAAGCTTTGTTTCTTTTTTTTATTTTTTATTTTTTTTATTGTTCATATTATTACAAATGTTCCTTTCCCCCCCCCCCCACCATTGTCTCCTCCACCAGGTTCCCACCCCACCCTCTGCCCTTTCCCCTCTCCCCATTGTCCTCATCCATAGGTGCACAGTTTATGTTCAGTCTCTTCCCACGCCCCCCTCTCCCCTTTTCCCCAAGAATCGTCAGTTCACTCCCCTTCCATACCTCTGATTCTATTATATTCAACAGTTAATATTGTTCATCAGATTTTTTTAATTTCCTTGGTTTTTAGATTCACTTGTTGATAGTTACGTATTTGTTGTTCATAGTTTTTATCTTTGTTTACTTTCTCTTCTGAAAGAACCCCCTTCAGCAATTCATATAATTCTGGTTTGGCTGTGATGAATTCCTTTAGCTTTTTTTTATTAGTGAGGCTCTTTATCTGGCCTTCGATTCTGAGTGATAGCTTTGCTGGGTAGAGTATTTTTGGCTGTAGGTTCTTGCTATTCATCACCTTGAATATTTCTTGCCATTCCCTTCTGGCCTGCATGGTTTCTGTTGAGAAGTCAGCTGACAATCGTATAGGTGCTCCTTTATAGGTTGCTACCTTCTTTGCTCTTGCTTCTTTTAATATTCTCTCTTTGTCTTTTGCTCTTGGAATTTTAATAATGATGTGTCTTGGTGTAGCCCTCTTTGGATTCCTTTTGTGTAGAGTTCTGTGCGCTTCCTGGACTTGTAAGTCTAATTCTTTCACCAGGTGGGGGAAATTTTCTGTCACTATTTCTTTCAGTATGTTTTCAATATCTTGCTCTCTCTCTTCTTCTGGGACCCCCATAATTCTGATGTTGGTTCGCTTGAAGTTGTCCCAGAGGTTTCTTACATTATCTTCAATTTTCTGGATTCTCTTGCCTTCTAGCTTCTGTGGAGGAGTGTCTTCTGGCTCTTTATGTTCCAAATCTTTGACTTGATTTTTGCGATCTTCCCTTCTGTTTTTAGGACTCTGTAAAATATTTTTTATTTCAGACAATGTATTCTTTATTTCTTGTTGATCCCTTATCATTTCTTGTTGACTCCTTATTAATTCTAGTTGATCTCTTTTCATATCCTCATAGGCCTTATCCATCTTTTCTAGGAAATTCGTGAAAAACCTTATAAGCGTAGATTTGAACTCTATATCCAGACGCTTTTTGTCCTCCATTTCTTTCGTTTGTGATCTATTTTGTTGTCACATTTCGCAGTTACAGATGGGACGGGGTTTCAGGGTGGAGCCTGCAGCTTTGGCTTCTGTCAGCCCCGCCCTATGCGGGTCCGTCAGTGCTCGCTGCCTGTGCCTCTGAGAGAAAGATGCCCTCGATTTTCGCCTGCTGCTAAACAGTCTATGCTCTCCCACAATGAGCCCGGTATTGGGGTTCAGTTCCGTTGGAAGTGGAGTTGGAGGTGGCGTTCAGAGCAGTCTGGAGCCCCAGTCTCCTTCCGGCCAGGGCAATCCCGCGGCACAGCCGACCGTCCCTTCTCTGTGCGCAGTGTGCGCACCGCCGGGACCTCCTTTCGCCTCTCCCCGGGGTTCCGCCTTACAGCCCGGCTCCCTATGGCTGAGCCTGAGTCACTGGGGTCTGGCCTAGAACTGGGGTTCAGAGCAGTCAGGGGGCCAGCACAGTTGGAGTTTTATCTCCTTTCCACTAGGGAACGCCCTCCAGGCACCCGCCTCCCCCTCCTCTCCGGCTCCGTCCTCTCCGCGCGCCGCGTCTCTGTACCTTGGCTTTTCCAGCTCCTCCGCGCCTCCTTCTGGTTTTCTCCTTGCTTCTCGCTGTAGAATTTCCAGTCAGTCAACCTTCCTGTAGTTCTGGGCAATGTCCGTTTAATATTTTAGTTGTATTTTATTGAAATTGTTGTGTGCGGCTGCGGCTAGGTGTTCACCTGGGCGCAGCCATCTTGGATCCCCCCTCGAAGCTTTGTTTCTCACTAAACTTTGCTTCAGGAACTGCCTCACTACCTCTTCAACTTATTTACCTACACTTGAGCCATCAGACTTTAAAATCAAACTTTGCCAGGGTATTACCCATGTCCCAATGAGCTGTATTATCTGTGTAATATTGCTTGGCTAACCTTCATGATCTTTCAAATCCTAACTCAGATACTATTCCGTCTAGGTCACCTACCTTCCATCAGAGTCCTCCTCTGCCTCATCTCCAGAGGTCCCCAGTTCCTCCCTTAATCACAACCTTGATCCTTTCCTCAGCTCTGTGTTTGGATCTGTCTCTCCCACCCACGGGGACAAGGCCAGGACAAGATCCATTCATTTAATATTCATTCAACAAGTACTTGTGAGCAGCCACAGTACTTGGTACTATGAGTCAGATCCTGTTCCAGGCAAGAGAACTGAGGCAAAACATAAATAGGAGACTCATCTCGGTATCTCAACCTGCCTAGAGAAGGAATGAATAGATAGGAAGATCTCATTTGGGATTATGGCCAGGAGGTTTAGGGGGTGCAGAACCCCCACAAACAGCTGGTCCCCAAGAACTGGGAGATCCAGGAAGACTTGAGATCTGAGATTAAGTTGGGGTGGGGGAAGATAGACCTTAGGTGGCCTTGGCTGTGGATATAAGTTTCAGAGCCCAGGCACACCCAGCTGAAGTTATTGGTTGGCAGTAGGTTTAGGGAGGGGAGCAGAGGCCACAGATCTGCAAGGTGAGCAGCTGTGGGAGCTTTGCCAGGCTGGACCTGGGCCTTGCAGCGTCTCTAATTTCCTTTCTCGTTCTGCACTTTCTTTCTAACCTCCTTGCAGGACCTGTGATGTCTGTAATGACAGGTAACTTAGTTTTCATGCCACTTAAACTGGTGGTTTTGAGTAGGGGAGGCCCATGAGCAGATAGGCTCAGTAATGTCCTGGCTCGGCCTTAGAGTGTTTCCTTTACAAATGAGCCTCTAATTTTTTAAAATGTTTTTATTGACTTTAGAGAGAAGGGAGAGAAACAATGATGTGAGAAACATCATTCGGCTGCCTCCTGCACGCCCTCTACTGGGGATGGAGCCTGCAACCCCCCAGCATGTGCCCTGAGTGGGAATCAAACCGGGACCTTTTGCTATGGAGGACACGGCCAACCCACTGAGCCACACGGGCCAGCGGTGAGCTTGCTGACTGGGTGGGCTGAGCCTGTCATGTTTGCCATTTTTCTTCTCTGTCCCCGCCATCAATAGAAAATGGGAGCGTCTCCTCCTGGCCAGGTGTGTATGAACTACCCCATCCTGAATGGACTCGTCCACTTACTCCCCTCCCCCGCCGCCGCGTGAATGGGACACACTGAGGGAGTAAGATGGGGAGGGGGACGGAGAGATGGGGAGAGACAGGGATAAAGGGAGGGCGAGAGGGCGAGAGGGAGGGAGGGAGGGGGGACAAAAGAGAGAGAAGGTAGTCCCTTCTGCACATTTCTCGTCCTGCAGCAAATGGTTTCTCCCCGCGAGACAAGGCGCTAGATTGTCCCCGCCCACTCTTGGCCTTCCAGCACTTCACCCCCCCGGCGCCGCTCCGGTGGTTTCTCCCTCCTCGTGGCCGCCCCCCGCCCCCGGCGCTGGGTGGTGCCGTCCTCCCCTGCCCAGGTGCCGCAGCATGGCCGCCGCCGCCGAGGCCCGGAGGGGAGAGCGCCCGGGCGGAGAGCGCCGGACGAGCTCACTGCGCGGCCGCCGCGGGGGAAGCCGGGCTGCCCGATCCGCCTCCCCTCCTGAGTGGAGGTTTCCGCCCCGGGAGAGGAGGCGGCGCCCGGGACCCGCCTCCATGCGCCGGTGGAGTGCGGCGTCCGGACCGTCCATTGTTGCCTGGAGGGGTGGGAGTGGGTGTGGCGGACTGCCTCCTACGGGAACGTTCTGGGCCCACCTCGCTCGCTCGCTCGTCCTGCAGGAGCTGTGACGCCAAGATGAATGGCGACGAGAACCCAGCCAGCAACCCCACGCCGGTGCAGGACATTCAGGGCGATGGACGCTGGATGTCCCTGGTGAGCGACCCCGCCCGCGGTCATCAGGAGTCGGGGTGGGGGCCGGGGCTCGGGAGTCCAGCTGGCTCGCCTGGCTTTCACTACAGGATTGGGAAACTGAGGCCAGTGGGAGGGGGGTGTTGTCTGACGGCCCCAGGAGCGAGCGTGCCATAACTCACCCGCGTTTGTCCCCGAAGCACCATAGGTTCGTGGCTGACAGCAAAGATAAAGAACCCGAAGTCGTCTTCATCGGGGACTCCTTGGTCCAGCTGATGCATCAGTGCGAGGTGAGGCCGATCTCCCTCCTCCTGCCCCACCCAGGCCTGCCCTCTTGACTCACCTGGACCAGACCTCAGGCCAGGCGGAATATGGGGTACCCGAATAACCTCGGGTAGCGCCCAGCACCCAGATTTTCAGTGTAAGGTACATTATACCAAGAAGGAAGTGTGTGCCCTGGCTTGATCAGGCCGTTATTGTATATAATGAGACTTAAAATGAGGCTTCCCGCAAGATTGACTAAAGTGAGGCTCTTTATTGTTTGTTTTAATAGATTTCCACAAAGCTATAGTTCTTTCCACAATGTGTAGGTCAACTGCAATGGCTCTCCATAAAGGGGGCTGGGGTTTAATATCTTTCCACTAAGCACGGTTAATGGTTTTCCTCAGAGAGGTTTATTGTTTCAACACATAGCTCAAGCAGAATGGTTTCCATAAAGTGAGTCTTGCTTCTGTGGGTTCCAAAGACTATGCTAGCATCTATACTATACTATACTATACTATACTATACTATACTATACTATACTATACTATAGATGCTATACTATAATGTGAGGTGTGACCTTACGGGGGTTTGCTCAGGATGAGATGGCTTCCATGGAGAGGCTCTTCTGTAATGACATCTGGTTAACATTTGGACCCAGAGTAGGGCATGCTGACAATGCCCCTGTGCCCACACCATTCTTGCCCACAGATCTGGCGGGAGCTTTTCTCTCCTCTGCATGCACTTAACTTTGGCATTGGCGGTGATGGCACACAGCATGTGCTATGGCGGCTGGAGAATGGGGAGCTTGAACACATCCGGCCCAAGGTAAGTAGGGCTTGGGCGGGCAGCTAAAGCCCTCTTAGCCTGCCCTCTCACCACTGCTTCATGCCTCTCTTTCCAGATTGTGGTGGTCTGGGTAGGTACAAACAACCATGGGCACACAGCAGAGCAGGTGGCTGGCGGCATCAAGGCCATCGTACAACTGGTGAATCAGCGGCAGCCCCAGGCTCGGGTCGTGGTGCTGGTGAGAGAGTGGGAAGGCGGGGAGAATGGATAGCAGTGTTCTGGGACCCCCTCATGTGTCGCCATAGTTGGCATGGTTCTGGGTAGCTTGGCACAGAGCAATGGCTTTCAGGCAAAATTTCCCATTGACACTTGCTACAACCATCAGAGCAGCTATGAATAAGGACATGTTCAATGACCAATTAGGCCCTTTTCCCAGGGGAGCACTAGAGATTTTGGGTTGTTTTTTTTGTTTGTTTTTAAATATATTTTATTGATTTTTTACAGAGAGGAAGGGAGATAGTTAGAAACATCAATGAGAGAGAAACATCGACCAGCTGCCTCTTGCACACCCCTACCGGGGATGTGCCCGCAACCAATGTACATGCCCTTGACCGGAATTGAACCTGGGACCCTTCAGTCCACGGGCCGACACTCTATCCACTGAGCCAAACCAGTTTCAGCTTGTCAGCATTTTTATAAGGCTATTGCTGCTGAATGGGGTCTCAGACCAGGCATCAAGAACTATCCTTCCAATTCCCATTTCCCATCCCTCGTGTATTCTGCAGCTGTGGACTTCATAGTGGGGGTTGGAGAACAGTTTGGCACAGAGATGCTAGTAGCACCCAGATTTTGATAGGATATCTTCTCACAACTCTTGGTATCTTCCTCAGGGCCTGCTTCCGAGGGGCCAGCACCCTAACCCACTTCGTGAGAAAAACCGGCAGGTGAACGAGTTGGTACGGGCAGCATTGGCTGGCTGTCCACGGGCCCATTTCCTGGATGCTGATCCTGGTTTCGTGCACTCAGACGGTACCATCAGCCACCATGACATGTATGATTACCTGCACCTGAGCCGCCTAGGCTACACACCCGTCTGCCGGGCCCTGCATTCCTTGCTTCTGCGCCTGCTGGCCCAAGACCAGGGTCAGGGTGTCCCTCTGCCAGAGCCCACACTCTAACATCTGCTTTCCTGCAATATTAAATTCTTATTCCTCAGTCTCCCTCCCATTTTCTGTTTTATGGCCAAGCCCATCTGGGTACCTCAGCCTCAGCCCCGATCTCTTCAGGGTGTTGTTTCTGCCCAAAGAAGGCATCGTCCATCTATCAAGGCATTCTGGTTCTTGGAGAGTGTGGCACATTTATACTATCACAATAGCGCTCCAGGCAGGCACTTAGCAATCGGTAACACTAGGTGAAACCAGTTTGCTAACACTACCCTAAAGGATCGGGGTCAAGAAAGAATTCTGGGAACATAGTGGCCTAACACAGGCCTCCAATCTTTGCACATGCTGTTCTCCTGGCTGGTGCTCTGGGAGCTTCCTGACTCTCCCATTCCCAGCAGTCATCCCTCCACACAGGGTATAGCATCTCAGCTGGGCAGTATCCACAATCCTGGAGAGGCTCCTGGCTGCAGTGCTGGCTTACACCACATGGGGGCAACAGAGGTCACTGAGGACAGCCCAGTATTTGGGAGTGTCACCTCTGGGCTTAGACCTCAGGTCCAGCTGGAACTTTTACGTCTAGGCCTTCCCTAATCCCATGCATATTGAATGCCTGAGAAAAAGACAAGAGATGCCACAAGTCCCTAGCACCCGACTTAGAAGGGAGCCTCCCAGCCTTCAGTGGTCAGGGACCTTAGGTCATGGAGTCCTTCTGATGTCGGGAGTATCCTGGCATTGCCATCCTCATCTCACTGGGGGAAAGTATATAGCTCCATGGCCATTTGGCAACAAGACCGGTGCAACCAACATCCCTCCTTTTCAAGTTGGCAGTCACACAGGTGTGTTAAACAGCTTTAATTGCGGTCATTGTGGCTTTTCGGCACAGTAAGAAATATTGCACATGATCAACATGTTTTGTTCTGGGGTTGGGGACAAGAGTAGGGGGAATCACCTTCTTAGAAAGTACAACCCAAGTTGGGAGGGCAGAGAGGTGGGGAGAGAACACTCCCCATGCCTGTGGCAAAGTGCAGGAGCCCCTACCCCCAAACTAACCTGAGTCCAGCCCCTCTGGGGAAAAAAGGGGTGCATGAACCCCTTACTCCACAGGCGCCTCCCTGTGGCCCAAGGCCCTCACTTCTCTCTGATTGCAGCCCTCACGAGCCATTTTGCATTAAGTACAAGTGAAAAGATCTGAAGGTCACACACTCCAGGTTGTTATATACAGGGGCTCGATGGAGGGAGACTGTGTCCCTGCTTCCCCTCAGCTACCCCCATCACTGGGAGGGAGCTGTGGGGGATGGGGGTACACAGAGGGGCAAGCCTCATTCCGCCCCAAAATTGAAAGGACGAAATGGCTTTATTGGGGAGGAAGTAACCATCTTACCCCCCCACACACCGTTTCTGCCACCGACATATTGTCCATGTCCTGAGGGGGGTACTATGGGTCCTGGGATCTTCTCAGGGGCCCCTCACCTGCCTGTGGCAGCTGTGGAGGGACCAGGAGGTGGGGGAGAGGGTTGGGGGGCCCCCTCCCAAGCAGGCTGTCCAGGCCCCGGCTCTGGGGGTGGAGGCAGTGGTGGGGCAGCCTGGGCTGTGCCAGAGTCCGAGCAGGGTGAGGTGGGATCGGGGCCTCCAGCAGGGCTAGGAGTGGGAACAGAGGCAGCAGCAGTGCCAGTGGGGGGCGGTCCAGGGAGGGGGGACTCAGCTCCGGGAGGCTGCTCCGTGGGAGTGGCTGCCTGCATGATTTTCTGGCGCACCTCACGGATCTTCAACTGCAGACAGACCTTGGAGGGGAAGATGTCTGCGTAGCGGGCCTGGAAGGCTGCTGTGGCCTGGGCTACGGACAGAAGGAATGGGGGGATGAAATGAGCAGGCAGATCCCCTCCAAGTGCTCCCCAAGACTCCCAAGATGTGCTCACCTGATGGGAAGAAGCCATGGTCCTGGAAGAGCTGCATGACCAGGGCCCGGCGCTGGTCCAGAGTGCGCCGCAGTGACGAGTATGGCACTTTCTCATATTCCAGCTCCCCAAGCACATCCTCAGCTTCTGTTCCTGGAACAAAGGCGGGGAGAATGATCAAGGCCACTGGCCACCCCATCTTCACACCACTGTCTAAGTGTCCACCGCACCTTCACTGAATTCTTTCACAGCAGAGTTCAAAGAGGGGACATGCCAGTCCCATGGCAGTGGATTCTGGAGCCCACCCTTAACCTGCTATTCTTCCTCTCAGCGACCCCCACCCCACCTCTCATTTCTAACCCAGTTCCTAAGACCCCACCCCTCTTGCAGGCCCTGGGTCCCTCACAGCTTCGCCGGCCACAGCATCAGCACCTGTGCGGTCAAAGGTGAAGATGTCTCCCTCACACTTAGCACTCTTGGGGGTATTAGGCTCTGAGCTGCAGCTGGAGCGTCTCCTCATCTTGCGCTTGGGTGAGGTGGGGTCCTCGGGGGCAGAGTCCAGGTCTGGTCAAAAGAAGCAGGCTCAGGGGAGGTGGCCTCGGCCTGTCCCCCACCAACCTCAGAAATCCCCCTTGCCTACCGGTGGAGTTCTTCCTTTTCTTGCGATAGGAGCCCAGGATGGCCCGGGGCGAGGTGGCCAGAGACTGCAGGGTGGGAGAGGGCAATACCTCTTCAGGCCGAAACTCGGGCAGCTCAGCAAAGCGTTCTTCGAAGTCTACTTCTGACAGGACCCTGCTGGAGAGTGGGCAGGGTCACCTCCCCTGCTTGGCCTGTAGCTGCTCCTCTCCCACCAACCCCACAAGCTCCACCAGAGCCCCCAGCCCATGCTCACTTGTCCACAGAGTCAAAGGTCTTCTTCAGAGGCGGGGGCCGCACCTTCACCTTCTTGCTAGTACCAGCTGCCTCCTTGCGCTCAGGATTGTCCCCGGCTGCTCTGCCACTACTGCCCTCACTGCTGCTGCTGCTGCTGCTGCTACTGCTGCTAGCAGGGGCTGGGGCTGGGGCTGGGGCTGGAGTTGGGGCCGGGCTAGAAGGGGTGGGAGGCTCCCCACGGCTATCCAGGCCCAGCCCAGGGACGCGCCAGTCTGAAGATGAGCTGGGGAATTTGCTGGCCTGGGGTGGGGATGGCAGAGAGATGAAGGACACAGGTTCAGACTTGCTGGGGTAAAACCCAGAAACAAAGAGACAGGTGCTGATTGCCCGAGACAATCTTGGAGAAAGCCCAGTGACAGTCAAGCAGGAGGGACAAGGACACGTCTCAGATATATGCAGGGAAGAGGTGGGTCAGGGAGCAGACAGTGGGCCAAGGGACAGAACCCAGTAGCAGCAGAGCCCCCAGGACTGCTGGACACTCACCATAGTCTCAGGGCCCTTGGTATTGGTCCGCTCCTCAGCAGGCAGGGGTGGTGGGGGGCTACTCCGGGGAGTGGGAGCCCAAGTCTCTGGGGTAGGTGGAGGGCCTGGCGTTGCAGGCTGCCCCTCAAGCTCGGACTCAGGGGCAGCAGGCTCACGAGCTGAGCCAGGCTCCAAGGGCTGCCGGGGTGCAGGGCCAGGCCGCCCAGGGGCACCCGCCTCAAAAGAGCCCACAGGAATGCTGGCGATGGCTGCCTTCACTTTCTGGGGGGCCTTGGGGGTGGGCCTCTGGGCCTTGGGGGCCACTAAGCTGTAAGTCATGGAGCCTGCTGATGGGGAGAAGAGCATTTGCTGAGCTAGGCCTGACTGGAGCCCATTCCCTGGATCCAACTCACCCCACCCTGGGTTGGCCCAACACCCACCTGTGGCACTAGGAAAAGGGCTGGTAGGGGCTGGGGTGGCAGTGGCAGTGGCAGTAGGAGGGGCCGATGGGCCCTTGGGCAGGATTGTAGCAGTAGGGGTGGTGGTGCTGGTGGCCACAGTGTAGACCAGGCCTGCAGGGGCCTGGGATGGCTGGGCCAGGGGCGCTGACGAGGTGGGTATGGGGCTGCCAGGGTAAAATGCCGTGATGACGGGAGCTCCAGGGGCTGCACAGGTGGGAGGCAGCTGGGGGCTGGGCACAGGCGACACGCCCACCTGGCCAGGAGCCAGCAGCGGGGCCTGGCCTGCAGAGAGGGAAACAAGAGAGGCAGGGGCTCGTGTTAGGCCTGGGCTGCCTTAGCTGGACTGCCTCAGACCCGCCGTGGATTCCCAGCACTGCCTGCCAGGTCATGCCTCACCTGAAAGCAGGGGCTGTACGAAGGCAGGGCCACTGGGCCCCAGCGAGGTGAAGCCTAGGGCTACGGAGCTCGTGGGCCCATATGAGGTGACTGTTCCAGCCTGGCTGGATGCTGAGCTGGTGACCAGAGGCAGCGTGTGCCCGCCTGCTGACTGCACGTAGGTGATTCTGTCGCAAGGAGAAGAAAGGGGGGAAAGAGTAAAAATGGGGGGGGAGAGCCTGCCTGGTGTGGCTCAGTGGCTGAGCAACAACTCATGAACCAGGAAGTCAATGATTTGATTCCCAGTCAGGGCACATGCCTGAGTTGCAGGCTCAATCCCCAGTAGGGAGCCGTGCAGGAGGGGCAGCCAATCGATGTGTCTATCTCTCTATCCCTCTCCCTTCTTTCTCTAAATTAGGGGTGTCGAACTCAATCAGAGAAGGGGCCAAAATCTAAAATCCAGCCTAAATCGCGGGCCGAATGGTTTACTGAACAGTCATAAACTGTCACTGTGATGGAAACGCAGCGGAGTGCAGTGATGACAGCGCAGTGCGGGCCACATTGCAAGGCCTGGCGGGACGGATTTGGCCCGCGGGCCTTGTGTTTGACACATGTGCTCTAAATCAACAAAAAGGTATTAAAAAATAAATAGGGGAAGAGAGAAGCGACCTGGCCCCACCACCCCCTTACCTGGGCTTGCCTCAATAGCCATTACCTGGTGGAGGAGGGCAGCAGGACCTTCTGAGGCTGGGAAGTGGGACCAGGGATCGTAGCTGGGCTGAGGGGCGGCACCAGGCCGCTGGGTGTGCTCACAGGCACTGGAGTCAACTGGATGATCTGTGGCAAAAGCACCCATAGGCTGCAGTGAGTGGAGGACCCAACATGGGGAAGAGGAAGGCCAAAACCTAGGAGAGTGGTGGGTCTCA